GTCCCTCCTTCCGACAAGCGCAGTCTGCTCTGATTGGCCAGCTGACCCAGTGTATTGTGATTGGCCGAACACTGCAAGCACTTGTCGGAAATATAATGCCCCTTACCATAATCGCAAACTTCATCTTTCAAAATAAATGTAAAGACAGAGGCCGAAAGGGGAACAGAAATTTTTAAATACTTGTATCTCGGCCAAATATTGTCCTATCCTAACAAACCATACATCAATGGAAAGCTTATTTATTCAACTTGTTTTATTCAGATGATGTATAAATCTCAATTCGAAAAAATTTACCCTTATGACTGGTTTTGTGGTCCAGGGTCACATTTGAGTTTACTTAATTTGTACCCTGTTTTTGCATAGCATTAAAACTTTTTAACAGCTTCCTCTTATTTTATTTGCAAATCGAATGACAGTCTAATGACGTCAAAGGTGTGCAATGCGACAGTGAGAAAGCAGCTTCTGTGCATTTCACTTTGTTTGTTATCTTGTGGTTACTCGCTGGTTGTCTGCTCAACACTTATTTTTTTAGCACCTGACTATTTGGAAGGAAAGTGGTGAAGTGATATGCAGCTAATGTGGTCAAATGACCTAGTTTTGCTTGTTTTGGGGTTGGTGAGATTTCTTTTAAATGTTTTTGCTCATACTCTTATGCTCACCAAGGCTGCTTTAATTGATCAAGTAAAAGAGTAATGCTATGAAATATTACAATTTTAAATAACTGTTTTCTATTATAATATATTTTAAATTGCAATTTATTCCTGTGGTGACAAAGCTGAATTTTCAGCATCATTACTCCAGTCTTCAGTGTGACATGATTTGGTGCTCAAGAAATATTTTTTTTGCTTAATATTTTTGTGGGAGTTAAAAAGAACATAATTTATTTGAAGTATAATATTATAAAAGTATTTTCTGTCACTTTTGATCAATTTAATGCATCATTCATTTAAAATGTTACTGGCCCCAAACTTTTGAATTGAATTTATTTAATACACGAGTTTCACAATTTGAGTTGAATTACTGAAATAAATGAACTTTTCCACGACATTCTAATTTATTGAGATGCACCTGTTCATCCTTCTCTTTTAAAGATTTATTTTGTAGATTTTTTTTTATTTTTTTTTAGCTCAATGAGCTAAAATTGTCTCGGGAATAGAGAGAACATCACATTTATTTCCAAGGTAATGTCAACTGAAAGCTACTCTTGTACAACAGAGCCTTTGATCAGATTTTAAGCAAAAAGTTACATTTGTCAAACGGGTATTTGTATACTTGGGAGAGCGTTATCAGAAAAGATTAGGAAGATTAGAAAAGCCTTGGGGTCATAAAGAATCATCAAAGGAAATTAGCTTGATGGGAATTACGTGGAACTGCCTCAGATGATAAATTGAAAATAAATTGATCCGTTGCATCTCGTGCTCTCTTTGTCTTCCCTCAGAAGAGGAGGGCAAGCCCCAGCGCCGCAATAGAAGCCGCCGCCGTCGCAACCGTGGCAATCGTCCTGGGGGAGGCTCCACCAGCTGCGACAGACAGCCAAGTGAGAGAGTGGGAAGGGGTCGAGATAGAGGAGCTAAACTGACAGGAAGGGACTACAGAGAGAGAAATGTCAAGTTGAACATTTACTACAACTTTTAAGGCTATTTTCCTCTTTGTTATTCAGGTTTAGTAGAGAGTGACAGGAAGTAATTGTTGAGAGAGAGAAGGGACTGGGTGGGATTGTAGCAAAAAACTAGATTGTAAATGGCAATGTTAATTTGACAGTCTACAGGTGTAAGATATATAAAGTAAATAACTAAAATATTAGTATATTATTAAATATAATATAATATTATAAAATACTATAATATTAAATATTAGTTCCATTTTTTTTTTTTTTTTCGTCTTTGTCTTCACAATTTCTCTTTTTAATAAATTAGTAATAGGTCAGTGTGTGTGTAAAGCCACTGTACCATCATCATCATCAATTGTTTTCATCAAAAGTTTCATGAGGTTTAGGTTCAGAACAGTGCTTTAAACTGCATTTCATTCTCTGTTCTTCAGGAAAACGGGACTAGCGTGAGTAAGGAAGAGTGCGCTCCTTCTAAGCGCTCCCCTAGCAATGGCGTGGCATCGCCCGGGGAGGCTCTAGCCCTGGTGAATGGCGTCTCGTAAAAAGTCATCTCGCCCCCTCAAGACCCACGTCTAGAGCAAGACACCATGGCGAACTCTGTCCCTGCTTGCATTCACGTAAACCTTTAAACTGACGAATGAAAATCGACTAAAAATCCTTGACGTCTATGAGAAGAAAATGATACAAAAAAAAATAATGACGAACGCATCTACTTTTAAACCACACGTAACAGTGTATGTTTATCCTATCTATCAGTACTTAGTGCTTATTTAAGACAAGCTTGCCAAAAGTGAGCTGATGGATATGACTCAAATTTCTGACATAACACAGAAAACAGGACGTGACTTTTTGGGTTTTATTTTAAGTTTTTCTTTTCTTTTTCGCTGTTGTCGTTGTTGTCATTGTTCGTTTTGATTGTTTGTACTCACTGGTGTGGGATTGTGAAACACTCCCAAACAGATGCATCTCTTAAACAGTGTTAGCTAAAGGAGGGCGGGGCTAGCAGAGAGGCGATGGGTTGAAGGCGGAGCCTCGTGAGTGATTGACAGTTAAGTCTGTGGTACTCTGAATTTAAGGGCAAAAAGGGGAAACAGAGACATTGTGCCTTGAATTTGAAAAACTTGAGTATTTTCTTTT